GACGGAGTTCCCTATGGGGTCACGAAACGTGTGAGGGGTGTGCCGAGATGGGTGTGCGGGACGCATGCGGGCACACCCACTGGGACCTTCGGTGGAGCTCCCTATGGGGCCACGATGCGTGTGAGGGGTTTGCCGAAATGGGTGTGCGGGACGCATGCGGGCACACCCACTGGGACCTTCGGTGGAGCTCCCTATGGGGCCACGAAGCGTGTGAGGGGTGTGCCGAAATGGGTGTGCGGGACGCAGGCGGGCACACCCTTTGGGACCTTCGGTGGAGCTCCCTATGGGGCCACGAAACGTGTGCGAGGTGTGCCGAAATGGAGGAGGGAGGAGGGGGAAGAGGAGAGGAGAGGAAACGTGGGCCACCGTCTCTTCAAAACGATGACCCAACACCACAGGATGGTTGGGAAAAAGGGACGACGAGGTAGACAGGGTGAACCGGCAATTTTCTGGGAGTAAAGAGGTGGTCTTGGAGGGCCTCTTCGGGCTATCCCTGGGGCCCGCGTGGGGGCGAGGGAAGGAGGATGAGGAGGAAGAGAGTGAGTGGGAGGAGGCGGAGGAGTACGACGACGACGGCGATCACGACGACGGGGAAGAGGAGAAAAGAGAAAGGAACACGATGCAGGCAAGGACGAGAAGGAGGAGGATGATGAGGAGGACGATGACAACAAGGACGGGGACAAAGCTCTGAACATCGCCTCTTGGAGCCCTCGTGTGACTCCTTCGTGGGATCTTGGGGTCCTCTTGGAGCTCTTCTGGGGGGCCTCGGGGCACTGTTGGGGCCCTCTTGGGGCCCTCTTGGGGGTCCCTTGGGAGCCCCGGGTGGCCTTTCGGGGCCCTCTTGGGGGCAGTCGATCGAACGGGTGGGGGTCCCACATATGCGCTCCCCCTGGGGCGCTCTGGGGGCGCCCGCGGGCCGATCATTGAACGCTCCTGGGGCCGTTTTGGGGGGCCTCTTGGGCCCCTCGTGGGGCTCTCGTGGGCCATCCCGTGACAACTTTGAGGCTTCAAGAGCGCATCGGCAGCCTCAGGTGTCTAAAGGATGTTGGCACCGTGGGGGGTCCTGTGGGGGCTCTGAGGGCACTTGAATCCGTCTTGTGGCCCTCGTCGGGCCTCGTGGAGCCATGTCGGAAGCTATATTGAACCGTCTTCGGATATCTTGAGCCGCCTTGGAGGCCATCTTGGAGCATCGGAGACCCGCTGGAAGCAATATTGGAAGAAAAATAATACCCTCTGCCAACTCGCGGCCCCCGCAAAACAACCTCAGGGAGGAGGGTCGGGGGCCCTTCCCCGAAGGGAAGAGGTTGTCTGGAAGAGGAAATAATGAACTCGCTGGACCACCTTGGCCTCAAGGGCTGGTGGGATTCAGAGCTTCAGCATCATAGACGGTGAGGAAGTTTCAGGCAAAACGCCCAGCCCGCCCTACCGACACGTCTGGGGGTGCGACAGTGAGTTACTCGCACAGAACAGGGTGGAGGAGGGAGATGGAGGAGGAGGGAGAGGAGGAGGGGAAGAGGAGGAGGAGGAGGTGGAGGAGCAGCACGAGGGGGGAGGAAGAGGAGGAGGAGGATACGAGGTGGAGGAGGAGGATACTACGTACGACTAATAATCATAATGCCAGGAATAACAGTACTCATACGAATAATAATCACACTACTCATCGTAGTAATACTATTGTTATCACTAGTAGTATCATTATTACTAGTATTAATAATAATAATGATGGTAATAGTCATAGTACGAACACTAATAAAAACGAATGACACTAATCATAAGCATAAGAAAGAACAACATGAAGGATACGAATAATAATAATAATAATAATAATAATAACAAGAAGGCGACGAATAATAACACTAATAATAAAAAGAAGACGAGTACGAAGAAAAAGGGGAGGAGGAGGAGGAGCAGGAGCAGGAGGAGGAGGAGTAGGAGGAGGAGGAGGAGGACGAGGGAGAGGGAGAGGAAGGGAAAGGGACAGAGAGAGGGAGAGGGAGAGGGAGAGTGGCGGCTGCCGGCGATGCATCGGCGGCGGTGGCGGCGGTCCTGCGCGGGATCCTCGCCGCGGGCCTGCGGAAGGGGCCACAGGAGTGGTTGCTCCGCACGCGGCGGCAGCGGCGGCGGTGCGGGCCTGTCCGGCGCCGCCTTGCCGCGCGTGCGGCGTCCTCGGCACCTTCGACGAGGTGGTGCTCGAGGCAGGGCGCAGCACGGGCTAAGCCGGCTATCTCAGCGTCTCAAACATCCGGTGGCGGACGCGAAAAGTGCGAAAAGTAGAAAAGTGCGAAAAGTGACGAAAAGTGTGAAAAGTGCGAAAAGTAAAATAGAAAAGCGCGAAAAGTGAGAAACATGCGAAAAGTAGAACAGCGCGAAAAGTTCGGAAAGCGCGAAAAGTAGAAAAGTGTGAAAAGTAGAAAAAGCGCGAAAACTGCGAACGTGCGAAAAGTAGAAAGCGCGAAACGTAGAAAAGCAGAAAAGTGCGAACATTTACAACAACAAAAAAAAGTGTGAGAAGGACGAAAGGTGCGAGAAGTACGAAGCAACACAGTGCAACAAGTTGAGAAACGCTAATAGGTGCAAAAAACAAGAAAGTCGAACCCTGATAAATCGGGGAACGTGCGTTTGAAACTTGCGATAATAACGAAAGGCAGCAAAGCGGGACTTGCGCGATAAGAGCGAACGTGGATTGAGAAACGTTTTGGGAAGGAACCGCATTTTTAACAGCGCGCAGCGCGAGAAGCGTTCGAATCGCGCGAATGGTTCAACATATTCTAAAAGAAAAACAAAGGAGCGGCAGGAGGGGCAGGATGATGAGGCGTGGCCGTGTTCCACATGTGTTTGTCTTGCGTTTCGCTTGTCCTCGTATGGAGCACGCTTGTTTTTCTTGTTTTTTCCCCCTCCTAAGTTTTTTCGCAGTAGTTGCCGAGCGCGTTCAAAAACCTCGATCCGTGTCCAGTTCGCTGCCCGCATATTTGGGAACACGCCTGCTCAGGTGCACTTCCCGTCTAAGTCCCCCCCGTCTTGCTCAGCAGCTACGTCCATCGGTTGCAAAGCAAGAAAGGAGGGAGACGGCATCGAAGACGCTTCCGGCGAGTCACCGCCGCCCCTTGCCTTTTTGGAAAGCGCCTCTGTGGCCAACGGTTGGGCCACAGCTTGGCCAAGCTGCCGGATGGGGAGGAAGAGGAGGACGGGGGAGGATGGGGAGGAGGAGGAAGGAGGAGGAGGAGCCGCACGAATGCTGCACGAGGAGACTGAAGAGGAGGAGGAGGAGGAGGAGGAGGAGGAGGAGGGCAGGAAGGAGCGGACCATGATAAGGAGAATGACAAGTTGGGCTTTGGGGCTATGTTGTGGTGAGGGGTTCTTCGAGGACTCGCGATGCCTTCTTGGCGCCATCTTGGGGTCCTCTTGGGGTCCTTTGGGGGCCCTCTTGGGGCTCTTTGGAGGTGTCCAGGGGGCCCTTTTGGTGCTCTTTGGGGAGCTCTTGGAGCGCCTCTTGGGGCAATCTTGGGCCCCACTGTTCAAAAACAGGCCGGCGGCTGCAATTCAGGCCCCCGCCCTTCGGAGGCTCAAAAAGAGCGTCTTGGGGCTCTCTTGCGCCGCTTGTGGAACGTTCCTGAGCGCTCTTGGAGCCGTCATGGGGCCCTCTTGTGACCAACTTGAGGCCTCAAGAGCCCATCGGAAGCGAAAAGGCGAGAAGGCAACACACATATGTTTTCTGTTGGTTTTTGACAGGTTTGGGCCTCTTGGGGGGCTCCTCGGGGGGTTCGGAGGGCGCTCGGAACCGTCTTGGGGCAGTTTTGGGGCCTCTTGGAGGCATGTCGGAAGTTATCTTGGGCCATCTTGAGGTATATTGAGCCATCGTGGAGGCCATCTTGGCCTTTTCCGAGACCCTCTTGGAGCCATCTTGGGCCAAAAAGGACGCCCTGGCGCCTCGCGCGGGAGCCCGTCCACACCCATGGAGGAGGGGGGTAACACCTCCTGAGCAGGGGGGGAAGGTGGTTGGAAAAGGAAACGCCTTAGACCACCTGCGCCCTAAAGGGCTGGTGGGAGATACTTCCGCTTTGGATGCGTTTCTGGTCTTCATGTTTTTCGCCCGGCTATTGCGCGCGTCCCGTGTTCTCGGTATTCTGTGGTTCGCGTTTCTCTCGTTCGCGTGTGTTTTACATGTTTTCCGCTGTTCGTGTTTCTCCTATTCGTTTCCGCGCGTTGCGGCACCCATGTCAGGAAAAGAGAAGAGGAAGAAGGATAACGGGGTATTCCGTGACATGTATATCTCCGTTTTCTTCTCTCCGGATTTTACGGGTTTTGCAATGTTAGCAGGATTGTTTGCCAAGTTTCTCATTGCTGAATTTCTCACAAGGAATCGACTTCTCAGCGTTCCGTAGGCTTCCGCGTCTCGGTCTTCCGATTTGTCGTGTTACTGTGTCCTCGTAGTTTCACATTTGGTTCGTTGTTCTCGCTTTTCTCCACCGACGGCGCCTTGTTGTCTAAACTTTTTGCGTTCGTTGCGCGTTTCGTGCTTTTTGTTGCACCTTTCGCGCGCCATTCGAACACTTCGCGCTCTTCGGCCTCTTGTGCGCATCGCTGTATCCATTTTCGCTCTTCTCTCGCTTTTCGCACTTTTCGCGCCTTTCTACTTTTCGAGTGCGTTTCGAATGTTTCGCGCAACTTTTCGCACTTTTCGCACTTATCTACTTTTCGCGCTTTTCGCACTCTTCGCACCTTTCGCATTTTTCGTATTTTTCACTCTTTTCGCACTTTTCTACTTTTCGCACTTTTCGCGCTTGTCACGTTTTTCGCGTTTTTCTACTTTTCGGGGCGGCCACCGGATATCAAGACCTGGATCTAAGCAGCACAGAGCACGGGCCTCCCGGGCAGGGCGACCACGGAGGACGCGCGTCGCAACCTCCAGCGCGTGGGGAAGGGCCGCCTCGCCAGGGAGCGGTCGGCCCTGCGGGCGGGGCGGCGCGCCCTCGCCCGCCCCGACGGTCGGCGCGGCGGAGCACGTGACGGCGGCGAACGCCGAGCAGCCCGAGGGACACGAGGAGGCGGCGAGCGTTGGCCAGGCCGTGGGTAAGCAGCTGTCCGAGGGTTTGCACGGGTCGCCGATGGAGGTCGTGGAGCTCGTGGAGGCGCTGTCGCGGGTCCAGCACGTGGAGGCGGATTCGGACGGGGCCCAGGCAGGGTCAGAGGGCGCCGAGGCGAACATCGGCACGGAGGGTGAGGTCACGGACGCGACCGATGCGGACCTCCTGGGCAGCACGCGCGACATCGAGGGGAGCAGCATGGCGGAGAAGCAGAGCGGTTTCGAGGGCATCGCGGGGCCTTGCAACTTTGGCTCCGTCGACCTCGTGGAGCGACGGGGCTGAAGGGCGCGCGCGACCTCGGCAGCGCCACCGAGGCCGAGATCTTCGACATCACTGACGCGGAGGACCAGGAGGGCTTGCACCAGACGGAGCTCCAGGGCCTCGGCGAGAAGGAGATCGATGCCTGCAGGACGTCCGCGGGGGGCCAGACGGCGGCAGGGGCATCGGTGGCTGGGGGTCTGTCGGCGGTTGCGGCGGCTGGGGCATCGGTGGCAGGCGTGGCGGCGGCGATTCCAGCTGCGGCAGGCGGCGTAGGCAGCAATTCTGAGCGCGTAGCTAAGGGCGCTCAGAATTCCATGGGGCGCGCAGGCGGGCCACATGGAGGCCGTGCGCGCCGCGACGGTGGCGGACGACGGCGACGTTTTCCACGAGGCGGAGGAGGTCGCGCAGGGCTCTCACGGCGGCGTCGACGCCGAGGTGGACGCGGAACCCACGCCAGGCGCGAGCTGGGCCCACCTAGCGGTCGATTCGAGGACTTCCCGGTGCTGTTCGGAGAGCCGGCGGGGGCTGCGGGCGCCGCGCTTCCGGAGGCGGAGGACGGCCGGGGCGGCGGGCGGATCGGCTCCCCGACTGCCGTCCAGATGGAGGCGCGGACCCGCGCTGCGGCACGGCGGAAGGCGGTGGCCACCGCGCCGCCCCTCTGCCTGAAGGAGGTCGGCGCAGCAGACGACTGGCTCGCCATCGCCAGGGCGGCCTTGGCGGAGGGCGGGCGCGGCGCCCCGACTGCCGACGAGGATCTTCGGGGGGCGGTGGGCGCCATGGGAAGGTCTGAAACGGCCAACGCGAAGTGGAAGAAGCGGAGGCGGCCGCGAGGCGGTGCTGATGCTGCTGTGCGATCCACACTTTCACCTGTGGACACTGTGTAGGTGACTGGGTGTACGGCTTTTGCACTGCGCGCTGCCGCTGGGCTCGGCTCGAATTGCTGGTCGGTTCTGGTTCGTGGGCGGCGCGCCTTGGAAACCCCCTTTGGTTTCCGTGGTGCGGGGAGGGTGGGCGGCCCTGGTGGGCTGTCCGCGTCCCTTCTTGGTCTGGCTCTTGGGCGGATCGGGCTGTCCCGGGGGGGGCGGGGCGCGTGGTTGCTGAGATCCCCTCAGGTCTCGGATGGCGTTTGCTCATGTCGGCTGCCTGTCTTGGGTCCTTGTCGCCACGTGGGTTCGAACGGTGCCGCCGCCCGTCGTCTTTAGCGACGGCGGGCTGCCTGAGCTTGGCGCGAAAGGCGCTCCCCCCCTCGGGCAGGAACGTCCATAGAGTCCGCGGCCTTCGGGACCGCTCGCGCTTTCGAGGCGGCGCGCGGCGAGGGAGAGGGAGAGGGAAAAGGAGACCGGGGGGGGGGAGGGGGAGGGAGAGGGAGGGAGGGAGGGAGAGAGGGAGGGCGGGCGGACGCGCGGGCGGGCGGGCGGGCGGGCGGGCGGGAGGGAGGAAGAGGAGGAGGAGGAGCAGGAGGAAGAGGAGGAGGAGGAGGAGGAGGAGGAGGAAGAGGAGGAGGAGGAGGAGGAGTGCTCAGCGCCCCGTCCCGAGGCTACCCGACGAGGCCCTGCAGCTGTTTGAGCAGATGCTGTCCGAGGAGACCCTTTGGCGGGCGTCAGGCTCTTGTTTTTGATCGTGTCAGCACTCGGCCGCGCTCCTGCGTCGGTGGTATTCCCTCTTACTTCCGTATTGCGCGTCGATTGGCGTTGATCACCGTCGATCAGCGTCGATGTAGCGCCGATCTAGCGTCGACTAGCGTCGATTCGCAAGAGCCGACAAGATGGTACGGGAGGCCCCCATGATTTACTACCGAATGTATGCCTTCGGGTTTTTTCTATATGCCGCTTGTGTTGGGGAGGGCACCTTGTTGCTGCGCCCCCGCGAATACTGTGAATGCTAAGTTTTGAGTCTCGCTGGTGGGGTGTTCTCAAGCAGCTCCCGCACAACATGTCGATGGCGCGCCGCAGTCTCGATACGATTTGCCAATGGCGCCGTTTCTACATGTTTCATATGGTTGGAGGTGAAATGTTGCAATTTAAGCAGGCACGCCGCCAAATGTCTGTTTGCAGCAGCTAATTTTACAGCGCGGTGGACCGATGATAAGGGTGGGTAATATTTCCAAGGGTACCCCTGCATCCCTGCCTCTCTGACCCATTTTTGACCGCGTTCGATGGCCTGCCGCGCTCGCCAAACGCTTCGACATGCGCGCCCAAGGGGCTTGCGTCCCTTTCCGCGCATCCTGTCGGCGCCGAGTCCACGGGGGAGCTCAGAAGGCTCGGAAAACCTCCCGCCTTCCAAGAAGTTTTCTGGGCCTTGCCGTTGGCCGTCCTGCTCCCGCTTCCGCTCCCGCCGGCGGGAAAGGAGAAGGGAGATGTTCGGAAGGGGACGACCGACCGAGATACCGCGGCTGGTCGTGGAGAGTCTTCGTCTTTTCTTCCTCCTCCTCCTCCTCCTCCTCCTCGTCCTCCTCCTCCCTCCTCCTCCTCCTCCTCCTCCTCCTCTTCTTCCGAACTCCTCTTCCTCATCCTCCCTCGTCCTCCCCCTCCTCCCCCTCCTCCTCCTCCTCCTCCTCCTCCTCGTCCTCCTCCTTTTCCTCCTCCTCCTTCTCCTCGTCCTCCTCCTTTTCCTCCTCCTCCTCCGTTCCTTGCCCTTATGACGAACTCCGCCCCGTCTCACCCCGAGGCCTGGCGTTTCGCCTGAGACTTCCTTACCATGTGTGAGTTTCACGCTTGCAAGCTGGCACCAGCTTCACAGATGGAGGGCGGGTCGATTCCAAAATGTGGCTCTCGCCTAAGCGTCGCACACATACGTGTCAAAACATGGCACGAGCTTCGCGGATTGAGGACAGGTCGTTGTCGAACTGTGCAGCCCTGAGGACCCTGGAGCGAGCCCTGCTGGCCCCTCTCGCTCCAGGCCTTTGCCGTCCGCCGCCGCTTTTTTGCCGGGGGCGCTGCGTCTCCCGAGGCACGCGGCCCGCGGACGCGTGGAGCCTCGGTGCACGGGCGGTGGAGGCGGCCCTGGCGCAGGGCGTCGCTCTTCTGCGGGAGGCGGGGGGGCCCCGGTTGGCTAGGGGCTGCGGCCGCGCGGGGCGCGGCTGCAGCCCGCGGCCGACTCGGGCCTTCGCTCGGTGCAGCCCCTGGGGCCTCACACGCCCCCCTGGCGGTGCTTTCTGCTCCAGGCCGTCGCCCTCCGCCCCCCAGTCGTTGGATTGGGCCTCGGGTGGTCGGGGCCGTGTTCTGATCTGGACCGGCCCGATGGCCGATCCTCCTCTTTGGGGCCTCCGAAGCCCCTGAGGCGCCCGCCACTTCGGCTCCCTCCCGTTCCTCTGGGTTCGCTTGGGGCTGCTCGAGGCTCGAGCATCGACAGGGAGGAGGGGCACGGCTCGCGGCTCGAGCACCGCGCTGAAGAGCGCAATCGCCTCCGCCCCAGCGCCTGCGAGACAAGGAGGAGGGGCGCGAGGATCGAGGAGGAGGAGGAGGCTCGAGGCTCGAGCACCGAGCTGAGCGCGATCGCCTCCGCCCCGGCGCCCGCAGAGCGGGGGGCCTCGGGGCGCAGGGCGGGCCTCGGCTCGCCGGCCACCGCGGGGGCTTCGCCGACGGCCAGTTTCGCCGACGGCTGGCTTCGCCCGGCTGGCTTCGCCGCCCGGCGAAACCTCCAGCAGTGGCGAAGCGTCCTGGCTCACCTTCACCTCCACCTTCACCGCGGGCCCTGCCGCGGAGGGCGCGCGGGAGGCCGCCCGCGCGGGCGGCGGGGCCTCCGCCGCCGATCGCGGCGGCGCGCCCGCGGAGGCGGCCCCCGACGGGGCCGGCTGAGAGCGGCCGCGGAGAGGCCGCCCAGCGAGCAGTGGCGAAGCGTCCTGGCGTGCCTGTAGGCCGACCTAGCAATGTTCTGAGAACCTTTTGTGGTTGCCACGAAGTGTTCTCAGAACCTTTCTGGCGGAGCCTGCCTTGTGCACGTCGGGCTTATGTCCTAAGATCATTGTTTTTGTTAGTCGAACAGTTTGGGGTTCTAAGAGCATTTCGTGATAGGACTATAGGAATGCCGGACGGTCGGTCCCTGCTCAAGAAACCAGCTCTTTCGGCGAGACCAGCTACTGTCGGCGAAACCAGCCACTGTTGGCGAAACTGGTTGCCGACAACATTATCGGTTCTTGCGCGCCCCGGCGTTCTCATCTGCGGAGCTGGGCGCCCTGGCGCGAACGGCCGAACGACCCCCGTCGCGGGACACCCTGGCGACGCGGTCGGCCGCCACACAAGCAATGGATACAACGCTGGTCGCGCGAAGGCGCCCGAAACTCCACCGTCCGCGAAACCAGCTGCCGTCGGCGAAACTGCCCGACCTGACCCGCCCGCTAGGGTCCGCCCGCCCGACCCGACCCGCCAGGTTGGGTTCGCGCGTGCTCGGTCGAGCGTGCCCCACACTAGAAAGTCCCGCCCGCCCGACCCGACCCGCCCGTTGGGGTCCGCCCGCCCGACCCGACCCGACCCGCCCGCTAGGGTCCGCCCGTCCGACCCGGCCCGCCCGTTTGGGTTCGCGCGTGCTCGGTCGAGCGCGCCCCACACTTCAACGAATGTCCCGCCCGCCCGACCCGTTTCGCCCGTTGGGGCCCGCCCGATCCGACTCAACCCGCTCGTTAGGGTCCGCCCGCCCGGCCCGACCCGCCCATTAGGGTTCGCGTCGGCGGAACCAACGCCGGCGAAACCAGCCGCCGGCGAAACCAGCCGCCGGCGCAACCAGCGGCCGGCGAAACCAGCCGCTGGCGAAACCAGCGCCGGCGAAACGAGCTCATGCTGGTTCGCCACGGGCCGCCGCCACGGGCCGCAGCAGTCTTCGTTATCATCGTCGTCGGTCGTCGCCGTCGTCGCCGTCGTCGTCGTCGTCGTCGCCGCCGTCGTCGTCGTCGTCGTCGCCGTCGTCGTCGTCGTCGGCTCCTCCGACCTTTGGGTGGTCAGGTCTGCGGACTCCTGCTTGCCCCCCCGGGCGCCCCGGGCTTCGCCCCCACCCCGGCGCCCGCCTGGACATTCCCGCATGCCCTCGGTGGACGTGTGCCTTCTCTCCAGGCCTCTACCAGATGGGGCAGGGCAGGTGGGTTCTCAGAGGAGGAAAATATACCCAAACTTGTAGCATTCCTTCGTGTTCCCCTTTGGGGACCTCCTTGGCGGCCCTCGTCGCTACCGCCGACTCCGCCTTGAAATCCTGGTCAAGACCGCACCCCAGGAGAGGTCCGGGAAGCGCGTTCTTGGGAAAGGCGGCCGAAGCGTCGCAACCTTGATTTGTGGGCCAGAATGAGCAGGTTCTGTCGTAACGGCGCGGTCCTCGGAAATGCGGCCGAAGTTTCGCAACCATCCCGACCGATTTTCAGCCAGGATCGACTTGTGACGCAACATTGTTCTGGGGTATCGGTACCTTTGGTTTCTCCAGGTTCGTTGTTTGTTCATTGGAGCTTTGGGCGGCGACATTGAAATCAGTTTTTCCTGAAGTTGCACCGCGTTTGGCCCTTCTTGCTCCTCCTCGCCTCTCCTGTTTCTCCTCGTTTTTCCTCCCCCTCCTCGTTCTTTTCGTCTCCATTGCAAGGGGGCGAACCCGGTCCAACTCCAGTGCACATCATACCCAATTCGGACAGCGCCGGGGCCTGCGTAGGCTATTATGGAGCAGACACCAAAGATGGGGTCGGAGGATCGCGCCGCATCGCCGAGACATCGCGCAGGCGGCTCTATGCGGAGCCCGATTTTCTGCACGCCGACGGCGCCGATGCATCGGCGATGTATTGCCGATGCATCGGCGTTGCGGCGCGATCGTCCGACCCCATACTGTCGGGGCGCTGAAGAAGGAGCCCTTTTCGTTGGGGAGGGGCTCGGTGTTCCTTTGATTATCTACAGTTTGCCTCAGGTGTTCCTGAGGTTTTCCATGGGACATCGAAGTCTAACTTATGGGGAAAAGGGGCCGGGATTCCCTAGGTCAACGTCCCGACGGTATGCTCGGACCCCATGTGGGAGGCCTCCGATGTCCCGTGCGCCTCGCGAGAGCTCGCGGCCAACGCACCCCGCCCTAGGCCGAGGCGCCGGGTCTGGATATACTCGCCTCCAGGCACTGAGGAGGCCGAGCTCCAGTGGAGGAAGAGGAGGTGCACGGTTCCCCCCAAGGAGGAGGAGGAGGAGGAGGAGAAGGAGGAGGAGGAGGAGGAAGAGGGTAGGGGGAAGAGGAGATGAAAGAGGGGGAGGCGAAGGGAGGAGGAGGGAGGGAGGGAGGGAGGGAGGGAGGGAGGGAGGGAGGGAGGGAGGAGGGAGGAGGAGGAGGAGGAGGAGGAGGAGGAGGAGGAGGAGGAGGAGGAGGAGGAGGAGGGGTCCCCCTTGTCAGTGCAGTTGTTTTCAGCAAAGACCGCGCGGCAGTCCAACTGCGGGTGCGTCCCAGGGCCCTAGGACTAGGGCCAAAACAGCGGCGGGCAGCGTGCATGCCACAAAACAAGACAAGCGTGTACAACATACACACATGGTGGCACGGGCGGCAGAGGGGCAGGGGAGTGCACTCTTCACACTGGGTGAGTACAATGCTGCCCCGATGCCGCTCCCTCTGAGAGGGCAACGCTGCACGCAATTA